GCTACTGCTACTGCTACTGCTACTGCTACTGCTACTGCTACTGCTACTGCTACTGCTACTACTACTGCTACTCCTACTACTAGTACTACTACTACTACTACTACTACGACGACTACTACGACAACTACTACTACTACTACTACTGCTACGACTACTACTACGACGACGACTACTACGACGACTGTTGTGCTGGTGCTGCTGGTACAGACGGATACTGCCTGCCTGCCTGCCTGCCTGCCTGCCTGCCTGCCTGCCTGCCTGCCTGCCTGCCTGCCTGCCGGCTGCGTACCAGTACTAGTACTACGACGACGAGTATAACTAGTACTACCAGTACCACTACACTACCACGACCACGACCACTACCACTGCATCTACTAGTACTGCTGCTGCTGCTGCTGGTACTAGTTACTCTAGTTACTACTACTACTACTACTACTACTACGACGACGACGACGACGACTACGACTACTACTACTACTACCACCACTACTACTACCACCACTGCTACTCCTCTCTTACTCCTACCTCCTACTCCTACTCCTAGTGCTGAGCTTCTGCTGTTGCTGCTGCTGCTCTGCTACGACGACCACGAAAACGAACAGGTCCACGACCATGACGGCTACTTCTTCTGATTTTGTTATTGCTGCTGTTTTTTCGAACAGTATCATTATCAGTGTTGTCTCTCTGCAGACTTCTGCTACTATCTTCATCATCTTCATCAGTAACATATAGCTTGCGCGAGCTCCTCGTGCAAGTCCTTTTAAACACCGCCGATATTGGTGTCGAAGATGGTGAGGATGATCATTCAGGTGATGATGACTGCGCATCTTGTTGTGTTGTCTTGCGAATCTTGCTGGTATTTGTTGTGTACTGTCCTCCAGGCGTCCCCGAAGTCAAAGCCTTCGAGCAAAGTCTCCGTCTCCTATCCCAGGCCTTCTCGGGGCAGCCTGGATTCTTGTCAGGGTGCCACCGCAGCAGGAGGTCCTTGACTTTGGCCTGTGCAGCTGGAGTTCCAGAAGCGTACGTACCATGCTGTCGCAGAACGACTTCCTAAATGCCAATTTCAGCCTCAACAATCCCTACACAATGGATCTGATTGACTCCACATCGTGGTGCTTCATTTCCATCGCTGCGCTTGCAAGCCATTTTCTTCCCGAGCTTGACCCAGAAACAAGGCTCGCCTTCTGAATCTCCCGCGGGGCCATCTGAACCGACTGCAACTCCTGGAAGGCTGCGGACGCGGTCGTCATCGGCACAACAGTCTGGATCTGGGTGCCACCACCGTTACATGGCACTCTTCGATTCGACTCAGTCCCGAAACGGCTGCAAGGCCGGGTCCTTGAGAAGCGCCCTCTCCTGGGGGCCGAGACGGCCCGAGACCCCTCTCACGGGTGATCCTGAGAAGAGTATTCATGAAGAAGGCTGCTAGCCAACTGGGGTTGTAAGTCAAGTGCTTTCCCTGATCCGTCAGGGGCAAAGCTCGGGGGTGGTGCATTGTGCTCTTTTGTCTGTCTTGCAGGATGGAATTGAAGTGCCTGCAGCAGATCATCCACCGCACTTCGCTGCCCAGCCCAACCCAGCCCGACAAGAAGCATCCTGATGGCGGTGATGGGGTCGCGGATGCGGATGCCGTGGATGGCCAGGGCCTAGTCTAAGAGAGCTTCGGGAAAAGAAGACACGATACTCAGAGCTCTCACGGAGTAAGTTTGGTTTAACGCCAATGTCAAACGGCGATGACAGGAGATCCGGGTTGGCTTGTCCTGAACCTTGTTCGAATCTGGGGCCCGGCTCGGCAACGACGCGATCCGAATGGAGGCTCTGCAGGCTCTTGGAGGGTGGCCGGGCCGGGGTCTCGTCTGAGCTCGCGAACCCTGGAGCCGTCTCACGCTGTGGCGCGTAGAACCTCAGCAAAAAACTCTAGACTGCTGGCCTCTTGACTCCCCTTACCCTGAATTTGTTCGTTTTCGTTGCATCTTATCAAGTGCGGATGGCATCCGACGGCGCGACTCGCCGCCGGAAAGTGAAGTACAACTTCTGAGAACTTCTGAGTGTGCAAGACTGTAATAAGATGTAAGGAGATGTAAGAAGTATAAGGACTCAGAATCGCCCTCAAAACAAGACAAGAGCAGATCCTAGGCTGCAGGCTGCTCGTCGGCCTGGGCGGCTGTCCGTGCCTGGCGGCGAACGAACTCGAGCAGAGTTAGAATGAAGGCTCTTTTTTGTGCCACTGGGAGCAAAAGCTCCAAAGGAAGGTGAGCCTGTGCTGTTCGCTGTACATCCTAACGCCTTTCATCGGAACCTCAAGCACTCGACGTAGGTGTGCAACCGAACATAGGTGACAAGGCCAAACAATGTCAAGAGCCCATCAAGTGGTTGGTCTGTCATCGTTGCTTCGCTTTGGCGCCTTAAGGGCACTTCATGACGAGATCGGAAATTCCCGCTGAAGGCATTACCACACTCTAATCAGTAGCACCAATTCCCAACACGAAGCTCGTCAAGGATGCATCATCAAGACGCTGCCGCCTCCTGGCGGCGTGCAGCTGCGCAGAACTCGGCTTCTGTGGCGTATCTCTGCCTGTCTTGTTGAGCATGTAGATCTCTTCCGGTTTGGAGAGAAGTCTTTCAAGTTGACTTAGTCTTGCAAAAAGATGATTTACTTCTGACCCAATCTCAGAGATGTCCCAGGACCCGATCACACGTTTCATATACCCAAACCACCCTCTGTGCCCGAGCCCTTGTGGCTCAACCCTGAGCCTCTCTGCAGCCAGACACCGCTCCCACTCCTGTCGGTGTGCGCGAGAGAGTAGCAAGCTTTAGCAGGCAAGCTTGCGCAGGTCGCCCTCTGAACTGCAAGGTGCCATCTGGAGGTGGTGCATCTCCGCACATGGGTTCAATCTCGGGAACGTGCAAACCCGTGCAGAATCTTTCAGAATCGTCCAACAATCAGAACCATCTCGAAGCTGACTGTCCAAGCACTAGTGAGGTAGACCGTAGACCCCGCAGCGCACTGTAGCTTCCTTGAAAGGCGCACTTTCCGCTGTGATCCCTACAAGTTTGCAAGCTTGATGCACTTCGCCCGGCATAGCAAGGAACTCCAACAATCCGAATCCTCGAATTGCCGCCGTCGGTCGCGGGCGTAATCGTCCAGGCGCCGTCGCTCCTGCAATTTGGGACAGAGCAACGTTCATGTTAGTTCAATCCAAAGGACTGCAAAGCAAAGATCGAAACCATCGGAAACCCGAACTGTAGTTGCTCCACATTTCCAGAAATTGAGCCAAAAGAGAAGGTGTAGTAGTAGTAGTAGTAGT